AAGATTACGTAGTAACGAACATTAATAATGTAAAGGAAAATGAAAATTATAACATCTTCTCATTTATCCTTAATAACATAAGCATAAATTAATGACTGTAAAAAAACATACCAGGATTTGTAACAATAGGATGAAACAGAAAGGAAAAAATTGTACATGAATATTTAATTGTGCAGGTTAAGAAGAGGAAGTTCAGAATGTTCGTTGTTTTAAAATGAGTGAAAATCCCTCTATTTATAGCTAAACAACAAAGGATAGTGTAAACAAATGTTTATTGTGCCTTATCGAAAGGTCACAACTCTTTGGAAAAGTTACAACCCTTCAGAAAGGTCATAACCTTTCATAAAAGACACAATTTTTCATAAAAGTCGCAACTCTTCATAGAAGTTACATCTTTTCATAAAAGTTGCAATTGTTCGTATAAGTCTCAACTCTTCATAAAAATCACAACTTTTAATTAAAGTCACAACTTTTCATGAAAGAGGAAGGCTAGTTTTATAAATATATAAATTAAAAAAGGAATCCTAGTTTGTGGTGACGCTACGTAGGCAGGCCTAGGGTTCTCTTTTATATATATATATATATATATGATATGATTGGAATGGATTATTATAATACGTATTTTATTATTATTAGGTATAATATCTTCTTGTTTTAAATGTTCTTGTCTTTTTCGTTGGCATTTTCAGATTGATACAACTATGCAGATTAATGTAGTAAGTTACCTTGTAACAAAAATAATTTTTAACTATAATAAGTCAAATGATCAATCTCAACATTGATTGGGTTATTCATTTGTTGTAATAAGTCAAATTACATTAATTTACAATCTACTTTGATCCAATTACATTAAAGTCTCGACACTTTTCAAATAATATATATTTGCATAATATTTTTTTTTACTAATTATAACGCCATAGAATATACTTTTCTTTTTCAAAAATATTTAGGTTTATAATGGAAATATTGAATGAAACAAACGCAAGAAGTTGTAATCCAAAAGGTATGTTTGTCATTTTCATGTTAATTTTTTTTGGAAATTCACTTTTGATATGTATAACGGTAATAAGCCGTTCAATTAGTTGCAGTGTGACTTTAATTTATCTAGACAACTTTAAAATGCATTTGATAAAAAAAAATCCTAATTTTTTTGTTTAGCTATTACAAATTTTAACTTGGAAAGATTATAATAGTAATAATTAAAACAATAAAATATGTAATGCATAGCTTATGTCATTAACCATTTTAAACAATCTTTCAAATTATAGCAATGTGATATACGTGTATTTGCACAAAAATGATACTCTAAAAACGAGTAATATTATCATATATGGAATTAGGAATATAACAAAATAATGAGTGCCTCTACAAAAGTATAGGGAGTAAAGATAAGGTTTGGTTAAGTTTGTTAGGGAACTTTATTTTTAATGTGAGGCTTTTTAGCGTATATTTAGTCGAGTTCAAATATACATATTTAGTGGATGAAAAATTAAAAAAATAAATTGCAATCATATGTATGTAAAGCATGTTAATAAGTTTGATTAATTCTTAAACGTATATATATCTTTAGTAAACAAATATTTTATATATACATCAATTTTGTATTAAAATGAAGAGAATAATTAATAAAAGGTTAACATAATTTACAAGCAAACTTAGCTTGACTCTTTAATCACAATATTATAATTGACATTGCAATATTAAATTAAGTTGCAACTAGATTATGGAGATCCATATTAATATATTTGCCTCATTAAACTTAATTTTCATATTTTTTTTGAAGATCTTGTTTTAATGTTAATACATCATCTTGTATGAATGAGTTAGAGACTGCATGAGTGAGTATTAAAATGTCGCATCGTCCAATTAGTCAATTTTATTTTGATTAAAAAAAGTTAATCAAAACAATAAAATCGATAATATATGAGAAATTTCTTGAAATATTTTATACTCTAAAATAATTACTCTTTAGATTTTGAACATACTGATTTTCTTTTTCAAATATTTATTCGATTAATCTTGCTACTAAAAAAAAGAGAACAAAAGGAAGCTATATGATCAAAATTCAAATATTTTTTTGATCTCTGGATTCGATCTTTTTAAAAAAAGGAACTATAGAGCCTTTTTTCCAAAATGAACGTCTTTTCCATATAATTTATTTCTACTATACATTTAACCCGTCTTTATTCCTATCTTATTAGTCATACATAAAATTAGAATTAGCTAGCGTTTCACT